GGAGGGATGGAGGGAAGGAAGGAGGGATGGACAGAGGGAGGGATGAATGGATGGAGGGATGGAGGGATGGATGGAGGGATGGAGAGAGGGAGGGATGAAAGGATGGAGGGAACGGGGGATGGGTGGAGGGCAAGAAGGAGAGCTGGAGGGATGGGGTAGGGATGGAGGGGGAGACAGCTGGATGGACAGTGTTGAGCAGTTGGGCAGGTGGAGGGGCAGGGGCCGCCTTGCCTGTCTGTCGGGCGGCAGGCCCTCAGTAGTAATGGGGCTGGGGCCGGCTGGCGGGGACTCCAGAGGTACTTACCAAGCTTTGCTGCTGCTTTAGCTGCTGCTGCTGCAGCCTGGGCGCCAACCCCTGGGGAAGCAGGGTGGGGAGGGAGTGACTCTGAAAACGGTGCTCCTGTGTCTGCAGAGCCCACCCGTTTCCAGCCCCAAGGGAACCAACCCGCTGAAGTCTAGGTTTGGGTGGGGCCTTCACAGCAGGCAGAGGCTGGCGGAGCTGCCGCCACCCAGGACCTTTCTCCAGGTGCAGACCCTTCAAGATCATACAAGGTGAGGGTCATGCGAAATGCTCCCATGGCTGGAAGTGGCCGGAGGCTTTCCTTACCTGTCCCTGTTGGGTAGCCAGCCTTGGCCCCTGCACCCGCCACTCCTCCGGGCCCGTAGCCTGCAGAACAGAGAGGCTCAGTGGTCACCATGCAGACATGTCACCACTGCTGCCCTCCCCTGCCCTTGGGGCCCAGGCTGGCTCTAGTCTCCACCTGTCACCCCCAGCAAGAGTGAAAACAAATACTAACGTGTGGGGGCTCATTATTCCCATTGTACAGATGAGAACACTGAGGCTCAGAGAAGCAAAATGGCTCAGCCAAGGCCTTGCCATGGGTGAGTGGAGTCAGGCTGTCTGAGTCCAAATTCCATGCTCTTTCTTTCTGGGATTCCGTTTCACCCCTCCCCCAGCTTGGTGCCCAGGCCTGGGGCCACAGCACCCTTGCCAGGACCCTGGAACCGGAAGGAGCTGGAAGCCCACAAGTCTAGGAGGGCCTTACTCACCGTAGGGCAGTTTCCCAGTGGTGTAGGGCAGTCCATAGCCACCTGGGGAGAGGGCAGGGTGGGCTCAGGGGCTGCCTTGCTGAGCTCCCACCTACCCAGGTGGACAGATCTACTCCTACAGGTGCTGTGGCCTGAGAACCTCCAACAAGGGCCCTGAGCTGCTCCCAGTGGCTCTCAGGAGAGCAGAGGCCCTGGGTGGAGGAGGGAGAGGAGACCCATCCCCCTGCAACCCAGGCCCCACCATGGCCCTAGAGTCCTAGGATCTTATGTCCCCTCTGCCATGGGAAGCATCTCACTGTCTGAGCTGATCGTGGCTGGAGGGGTGGGGGTGTGGTGGGTTGACGTCAAAGGGGTCCTCCCAGTGAGTGGTGTTTCTTACCATCCACACAAATGGCTCCCGTCAGGGATGTGGCTCCCTGTGTGTGTGCATGCATGTGCGTGTGCATGTATGTGCGTGTGCATGTGTGTGCATGTGCATGTGTGTGCATGCAAGTGAGTCTGACACCTGTGGGACTGACCTGCCTATGCTCTCCTTGGCTGGTGACCATAGTGGGCTTCAATACCCAGGCTTCCCGATCCCCCACCCCCAAGAGACACCCTTGGCCAAGCAAGTGCCCCCTCAGGCCGACTCTCAGCAGGGAGGCGCCGTGAGTCTCGCCTCTGACTGACCTGGCAGCTTGGGGGCCTTGATGGGGTAGCCCAGGGGGACTCCAGGCTGCTGGCCCCCAAAGGGCCCAACCCCTGTAGGGATAAAGGGCGCAAGTTCAGGTCCAAGCAACCCCTTCAGACCTTCCACCTCACGCTCTACTTTCTGCTTAGATGGAAGGGGCTCCCCGCTGTGCCCAGAAACCGCCCTGCCTAGAGGGCCTCCCTGCCTGTTCATCGTGGCCAGCTGAGCTGTCCCTGGCAGCAGGCCACTTCCTCCAGGAAGCTGCAGGACTGTCTCCCTCCTGGGGTTTGGGCCCCAGTCGGGCCTGCAGCCCTTGTAGCCCTTGCCACGATGAGTAGCTTTCTGGGATCATTTGGGCTGCTACACAGATGGGGGCCTGGGTGGGGGCAGCAGGTGTGTGACTGGTGGCACTTTGTGTGGAAGCCAGCCAAAGGCCTGGAGCACAGGCATGAGGGGAATTGGGCAGGCCTGGGTGGCATTGGGGTGCCTAGCTCCTCCCAGGGCAAGAGCCCCTGCCCGCTGGCCACCCTGCTGGCCTGACCGGCCTTGCCTCACCTGGGATTCCGGCAAAAGCTCCGCCTACACCTGCAATGACAAAGACCTGTCACTGCAGCCCTGGCACCATGCACACAGGGCCGGGGAGCACCGAGGGGCAGGCAGGCCCAAGCAGTGGCCAGTCCCGCCTGGATACCTAGCTCCTGCTGCCCTGACACCCGCTCTGGGATTTCTGAGCACCGTGCTGCTCACCCCAGCTGGCTGTCCCAGGGCTGGAGCAAGGGGTGCCCACCTGGAGGGCCAGAGTGAGCCCAGGATCCCCATCCCATCTCGTGTCCCAGGCCGGAGGGCGGAAGAAGAATCCCACCATGGGCCCCCAGCCCAGCTGGCTGCATACCTGGGGCTTTGGGCTTCACTCCCGCTCCAGTGGGGACCCCGGGGAGCACCCCCACACCTGGAAACCGAGCTCCTGTGGGGGCAGAGAGGGGTCCGGCGGTGAGGGCATGAAGGCAGGCCCTGCAGCCCAGCAGGGCACCCCTCCCCTCCTCGGGTCCCACAGCCGATCTCCTGTGACAGGCACGGCTCATGGGGCCGGTGGAGGAAGGACCTGACTGGTGGTGACTTTCTCTCCTGTGTGGCCCAAGGTCAGAAGGTCTGAGTTTTAATCCTATTTCCCGTCCATGTGAGCTCGTGCCTCATCTCTACGCTGGAGTTAATCACAAAAGCCGCCCTGACCACCCTCGCAGAGCAGGCAGAGAGAGGGCGAGCCGGCGTGGGGTGGGCCTGGCCGCAGCCCAGGGAAGCCGGTGCCCTTGGAGTTCTTGCCCGGTGTCACTCCCGACCCAGGCCCACAAAGCAGCCATTCAGCCGCGGCCGGGGACCCCTGTGCCAGTGTCTCCCACCTCTCCTGTGTCCCCTGGGGCTAGGCCACCTCGGCCAGGAGGAGGGACGGGGAGGGAGGGCCACCCTGTCAGCAAATCCTGCAGAGCAGTCTGAGTCTGGGCTTTTGGGGGAATTCAGAAGGTCACATGCTGGGTCGGGTGGTCAGGCCCTGGCAGGGAGTGGAGGCCGAGGGCTCAGCGCTTAGGGGTCTCCTGCAGGGCAGACTAGTTGGGCCGCACCCTGGTGACTCACAGCTTTTGGGAAACAGCTGGTCACACTGGGGTCTGTCCTCAGGGGCCTATCTCAGACTGTGATGATGGTCTGGGCCTAGGATCAGGGCTTGGGTGGGGCCGGGGACACACCAGGGACCTTGTGTCCATAAGCCTGAGCTTGGATGCTGGGGGAGACAGCACTGGTCAGGACCCAAGGCCTCTGGTGGCCTCTGCTTGCAGGGCAGGAGGGGCACCAGGGAGACTGACAGGGGCTGCTTCTCTTTCTGTAGGTCCCCTCCCTCTGCCCTCACCTGGGAGCACTCCACCTGGGTATACACCTGGAAGCCCCACACCTGCGCCAAAAGAAAAAGGAGCCATGAGCAGCAGCTCAGCCTCTGGGTGCCCCTCCTCCCGCCCAGGCAGCTCCAGGGCTCCCAAACCAGCAGCCTGTGTGCCTGGCGGGGCAGCCAGGGACAGACATGGGGTGGCCGCAGGCCTCCTCCCACGAGTTTCGGAAGTCATCTGCACACCCTTCTGTGCGTGGATTTATCTCTGTCTCCTGGAGCCTGTTTACATGGCCCGGCCAGCCCACCTCTGCTAATAGCTTCCAGATGTCCCCTCCCTGCTGGGTGGATTCAGGCAGCCTTTTGTCTAACCTGAAGTCACTTCCTAAAGGGCCTGGTGCAGCAGAACAGGCACCGATGGGGCGGCAGAGGACGCCGGGCCCACTCCAGCTCCACCATGACTCGTGGCAGGCCCTCCTGCACTGAGCCTCAGTTTCCCCAGCTGTCACTGGCCAGCCTGCCACAGAGCCTGTCTCTGGGGTCTGTTTCTCTTCCAAGAAGGTAGGCCAGGCCCTTCCCCCCATGTCATAGCCACAGGTACCATGCTTTGGCCTGGTTGTTTCCCTGCCCTGCCGCAGCCAGGGCCACCCTTCCTCCTCCAGTGCGGTGGGCTGGAGGGGGTCTGTTCCTCCCTGACCTCTGCCCCTCCCTGACCTCTGTCCTCCAGCCCCAGGGAGTCCACACTGACCCGGCACTTTCCCAGGCTTCGCTCCGGCTCCGACTCCTACTCCAGCTCCAGGCTGAGGAACCACTGCACCTGTCACAGAAGGGGCTGGCATCAGAGCTGGCTCCGCCTGGGACCTGCAGCCTCGACCCAGGGAGCTCAGGGCCAGTCACCACACCTGTAGACACGCCTAAGCCACCAACACCACCAATACCGCCAACTCCAGCAACACCTCCAAGCCCAGCATCTGCAGAGCCAGCAGCGGGAGAGGTGCGGGTCATACAAGGAACAGTGGGAGGAGGAAGGGCCCTGGGCTGCACGTTGAGGGCCCAGTGCTGAGGTCTGGCTCTGCCACCAACTCACTTTGGGATGAGGCACAGCCAGCTGTGTCCCCGAGCCTCAGTAGGTTGGAGAAGAGGTTCCTGCCCACCTGCCTCCCAGGCCCCGGGTCAGGGAAGGCTCTTTGCAGAGCGGAGGGTGCAGGGAAGCCAGAGGGCTTCCGGCATGTCCCTGCGAGTGCCACTCACCAGCCTTGGCAGCAGCTTTATAGGCTGCAGCAGCGGCGGCCGCTCCGCCAGGCACCAGGGCCCCCGGGAAGGCGCCAAGACCTGCGGAGGGAAGGACGGGGTGAGGGCCTGAGCTGTCACACCCATGGAGACCCCTAAGCCCCAGCCCGGCCTGGCCCTGTCCCGCTCAGGAAGCACACTCGAGGCTCTTCTGGTCTGCGGGACATCAGTGCCAAGTAGTGACCACTGCTCGCAGGACCGGATTCTGTGCTGGGGGCTAACATGTCAGACAGCTCCCTCAGCCTGACAAAACTGCGTGGATCTTTTGGGATCAAACTTCCACACCCACCTCCTCCAGAACCCCTTCCTGCACCCCCTCCGTCCCGGGGGCTTTCTCTACCTGGCCCTCGTCACTATTAAAGCTGTACCCAGGTACCCAGCTGTGACTCCCTCATGCTCCAGGAGGCTGCTTGGGGCAGGTAGTGTCAGCATTAGGCCCCATCAGTGCCCAGGACAGAACCTGGCCTGTACCCCTGTACGCTGACTCCCTCAAACTGGGCAGATACTCAAGGGGCATCTTGCCCAGGTGTCGATACTAACCTGCCCCAAGGCCAGCACCTGCGAGCCCTCCAACACCTGCAGAAGAGAGAGGAGACAGAAACAGGTGAGGAGAGGCCGGGCTGTGGGCAGCCTTCCTGGGCCCAGGGTGAGAAGGGTCTGATGGAATGGGGGCAGGAACCTGGCAGTGCTGTGATCAGCATGTGACCACTCAGGTCCCTAAGGGGGTCCCTAAGCCTTTGGTATTCGGGGCTGATCCTGATGGAATAGCCACCACCGTTTAGTGACCCACTCCTATGTGCTATGCAGATGGGACTGTGTCCCGGCTCCCTGACAAGCTGAGGGCCAGGCCCGGGCCTGTCCTGGGAGTCCTGCCAGCTAGTGGGGCTCAGCAGGCTCCCTGTGGGGCCGGAGCTGAGCAGCCTGTGCGTAGGACCTCGCCCAGCCGGGCCCTGCCCTGCTCCCACCGTCAGCCCCAGTCCAGGCCTCTCTTTTCTTCCCTGAAGGTGTCCCCTGACCCAGCCCCTCCCCTCCTCTGTATTTGGGAGCCCCTTCTGTCCCCGCCATCTGTCTGTCCTTCTGTCCAGGAGCCTCTGTGCTAAGATGTTTATGAGAAGCCAAATGGGTCCCTCTGGCTCTCTCCTTTCCACATCTGGACCCAATCGCTCCTTCTCCCCCTCGGGGAGACATTCCGTGGCCTTGGCCCAGACCCACGGGCAATCAGGTTGGAGTTTACAACCGTGCTGGGTTTGGTTCCAATTATGTGAGGATCTCTCCTGTGAGTGCCAGTCCTGGCTGCCAGGGTCCCAAGCCCCAGGGATGAGACCTCCCCAGGGACGATCCAAACTTGGGGCCTGCTGAGCCCTGGAGGGGTCTCGTGGCTTCCACTGGGTATGGCCTCCTTTCCCAAGGGCCCCTCCCCACTCATCTCCTACTAGTGTGACCTGGGCCCCTGAGGCTCGGCCAGCCCTCCGTAACATGGGTCTCCGCCCTGGGCGGCAGTGGCATGGCGGTCAGATGAGACCCGCTTCCCAGCACCCAGGCCCTGCCCCCTGGCTCTGGCAGTGGCTTCTGTCAAGCCAGGCCTGTTTCCCGAACTCTGAGAGGGCAGGGGACACACTCAGACCTTTCCTGTTTGCAGAGGGGCGGGGGACTGGACAGGAAGTGAGGCAGGCTAGGGCAGGTGGGGGCAGGCAGCCCCTGTGCCGTTGTCTGCCCCTTCCCACGGCCCCAGCCTCGGCGGCACTGGTCCCAAGGCTGCCCTCCAGCCTGGCCAGCTTTGTCCTGCTTGCCCTCCTCCCATTGCACTCACTGCCCCAAATGCCACAAAGTAGGAGAGAGGGAGGAGCTGCTCACAGCGGGGAGCCCAGGGACCTGGCCCACCCAACCCGCTTTGTTCCTGGAGTCAGAGAATTCTGGACTCAGATCCCACTACTTCCACCCACTCTCTGCATGGACGAGCAGGCTGGTCATTTCACCTCTCTGAGGGTCAGTTCCCCCATCCACAAAGTGGCCATCATGCCCCCTACCTTCCTAGGACCAGTGAACTTGTGAGCAAATAGCACCTAGTGTGTGCAACCTGCCAGAGCACCCAGTGGGTGCTCTCCACCCCTTCCTGTCCTTGCCCGCGCCCCTCCCAGGGGGTGCTGGCTTCCAGCCGGCGCTCAGGGTGCATTTGGGGAGTGCAGGCTCCCAGCTGCCTGGTTCCCCGCTGAGAGCTGAGGCAGGGTGGGGCCAGCCCCGGGGCCAGCTCAGCCGGCCCACCGCCTGTGGCGCCCACGTGGAGAAGCAGCTGCCAGGCCACCCACCCTCTATTGCCAAGGGATTAATTGTTCCCAAGCACAACACGCACTGCCTGTGCCCCATTCCATCCTGCCTGGGCAGGCCCGGACGTCCCCATAGCCCGGATGAGGGGAGCTTCCCTGGGGGCACCATGGTGGCTCTGCCCAGGCCTTTGTAGCCCTGAGTCCCAAGCCTGAAAGACGACCTCAGGGTGGTCATTGACTCCAGCCCCCCACCTGGAGACAGTGTACTTTCCTTTAGAAAGAGATGCTCTGACTTTCCTTTTGGTCTACTCCTTCCCCTTGAGCTGGAAGTTCTTCCAGAAGTCTAACCTAGATCTTTCATTAATTTACTTTAGCACCCATCCACCCTGGGACTCTGTATTCGGTTGTCTCAGTCTTTCCTCCGGTGTTCGATTACAACCTGCCCTGTATCCCGTGCTGCCAATGGGATCAATCAATGTACCCTCTGGCTTTGCAGGTATGACCTTAACCATTTGGGTCCTCTAGGCCAAGCACGGTCCAAGCTCCACACCTTACTTGTCTAGACCTTCCCTGCACTCTCTCCACCATCAGAGACCCTGCTAACACCCCTCGCCTCTGCAGGAAGACAGGATGCAGGGGCTGGCAGGGAGAAGCAGTAAGCCCTGAGTTCTCCTGGCCTCACTGCTCCCTGCAGACCCCAGGAAACCCGTTGCTCAGGCGCCCTGCCCTCCTCCTGCCTCGCCTGGCCCCAGCCCTGGAGTTTCACAACCCAGATGGGCTTTCAGCGAAGGGGAATCTGGGTCTCGCAGATTCATTTGCACTTGGATCATCAGCCATCAGGATTTCATAAGAGCTCTTGGACATCCAAACTGTGTCCTAGAGCCTCGGGCTTCAGAGCCAGGGCAACACGGCGCAGGGTGGGGGGCCAAGGCCACATGTGGAGCATCTCACGCCGAGGGGCCATAAATCTGGACAGAGACGCAGTTTCCTCCACCTGCTTCTTATCCGCCAGTGTTTCCCGGAGGGACCCGCCCCCTCTGCTTCCTGGGGGTGCATTCCCTGGAGCCTAGAGTGGGCCTTGGTGGCAGATCTCAGACCCATGGGCGAGACCAGGATAGATTCGGCCACACCTTCTTACTGGAAAACTCCGTGGTCTGGACACAGCTGGAAGGGGCCTGAGATCAGGAAGGGAGCTAGCTCGCCTGGGGCCAGGGTCAGTGTCTTGGGGTCAGGGCTTGGCCTGAGGCCAGGATTGGGACTCATTTGGCGCCGGGGTCAGGGGTCAGCCTGGGGTTAATCTCAGGGGTTCGTCTGGGGCCAGGATTCAGCCTGGGACCATTGCTCAGTCTGGAGTCGGGATAAGGGCTCAGACTGGCTTCAAGGTCAGGGCTTTCTGGGGTCTTGGCGCAGGACAGACAGGGATTGGTCTTGGGTCAAGGGTCAGCGGACCATCCAGGTGGAGTCTGGGGCCGACCACCTGGGTCTGAGCCCGAGTGCCTTTTTACAGGCCTGGGGGCCACTGGACCCAAGACAGTCCCTCCCTTTGCGTTCAACATCAGGGCTGTTTCTGAGACTGTGCAGAAGGGGGGTCTCTGGGCAACAGGGCACAGAGGCACTTGCAGGGCAGAAGCTGGACACTCCTCACAAAGGGAGGACAGTGAGCTGCCTCCAGCTTCCTGTCCCTGGAAGCCCTGGGGCCTGGCCCTGGCCCACTCATTCCTGGGGGGCTGTCGCTGCCCACACCTCCCTCCCTCCTCCCGTGCGTTGGCTGCCTTGCCCAGTTCACAGCGGTGCTCAGAGGCCGTGGGTCTTACCTGGCTTTGCTGGTTTGCCTGCAGCACCCAGAGCTGCAGAGGGAAGAGACAGTAGTGAATGGGGGGCCCTATCCCCTCTGCCCTGCTATTTGTCACCCTGGGCAGAGTGAGGGCATCTGGGATCCCATGTCCCAGGTCCTAGCAGGGCTATCAGGGAGGGTCCTCCCCTGGCATACGGAGCTGCCAGGAGCCCAGCTCTGCCCCAGATCTGTGGTTTCCCCTCTCCGAGCCCTAGTTTCTCAGCCTCAGAAGAGGAAGGTGATGCCTGCTCAGCTGGCTTGGCAGGGATGTTTCTGAGGATGAAAAGAAATATGCAAGGCTGCAGAGGTCACGAGGGAAAGGGCCCAGGGGGAGGGCTGGCAGGCCAGTGGGTTCTGGCTCTCAGACAAGGCTCTTCCCCTGGACGTGCCATCTATGACATGTGGGAGCCCTTCATGCTTGGGCCTTCTGGAGTTCTTGTGACTGAGGATGTGTGACACCCAGACCCCTTCGGGAGGACCCAAGTTTGGTTTCTGAGCTCACCTCCTAGTCCCAGGCCTCCAAGACCAGCCCCTGTGTTGAGAGAGAGAGAGAGAGAGACAGACAGACAGATAGACACGGAGAGAGAACCATCAATACCTCGGATAAGCTTCTGCCCCAGCCATGGCCAAATCCATCACGACCCAGCTACATGACCTTGAGCAAGTCCTAACCTCTGTGAGCCTCAGTTTCCTCATCTGGCTCATTGGGCCAATAGCCTTTGCCTGTTTGTGTCTGAGAGAGCCCTGGTGACCCTCCCACCCCACTTCCACATCAGTTCTGAACATGCAAGAGTTTTTTAAGTATTGAAAACATTACTTTCGATTTTTCAGTCTACTTGAAATCATTACGCTCTTTTCCTATATTAAAAGAAAAGACATTTCCCCCTCCCCCGATGCTATTGTCCCTCCATTTTGCCCATTTTCTTTCTGGGGATGGGTGCTCTCAGTCTCCATCTGCACATAATCATTGCTTTTTCCTTCAAAACTACTTCCCCACATTGCACAACAGACAGCATATTCATACTTTTTATAGCCGCCTAATAGTTCAGAGTTTATTCAATCACACCCTCCGGTCCGGCGGGTTTCTTGTTTTACATGTTTTGCAAATAACACTCCTATGAACCTTAGTGCAGATTGTTCTTTTTCTCTTCTTTTCAATTATTTCCTTTGAATGGGCTCCCAAGAGTGGGATTAATGGTTTGAAGACTGTGAACTTTCAAATGGCAGGAATGCGTGAAGGCGCCCCCCTCCCGACAGCCTCACAGCTCATGTTTCATCTTTCAGAAAATGCATGCTCTTAGTGGCTGCAAAACAGTGTCATGTTAACTGCGTTTTTAAAGTGGGCGTCATTTCTGGGTCCTCGGGGGGAGGCATGTTGGTGTTCTTGCCTCCTGCGGTGTCAACATGTGCATCTCTCACTAACAGCATCATCTGCCTTACCTGGCCGTGTGTGAGTTTCATGTACGTTACCTGGGTAAAAGACTCCTCCGGGAACTGCGCCAGGAACAGCCCCTGGGACCCCTGGAAGGAAGCAGGCAGAGTCAGTCCTTCATTAGCCAGAACTAATAAAAGCACGGAAACAAGGATGCTGCCGGGGGGCGATGATGATATTGCTTGTCTCCAAAGCAATTTCTGCTGACCAAGAAATTTCTGTTGATCAAGTGTTTCTCCTTCTTGCTCCTCAAAGTGGCCCTGTGAGGTTGGAAGGGCAGGGCTAACTATTATTGTTTTAACAGATGTGAAATCAGGCTCAGAGAGGTTAAGGGATGTCCCTGGGGCCACACAGTTGGAAAGAGATGCAGCCTGGATTCAAACTCAGGCCACTCCTCTGAGGATGATGGTTTGCAAGGAGGTACCTGGTTCTCCTTGGAGGCAGAGGCCGGTGGGCGGGGAGGGGCCCAATGGGAGGCTGAATCTGAGCACCTCTCACCGGGCAGCTCACTCTCCCATGCTCTGAGCAGCTGGGCAGGGACCAGAGCCGCGGAAGGGCAGGCCGGGCTGCCACAGTGAGCAGTTAGGAGATGCAGCTGCTGCCAGCAAAAACGCAGCCATTCCCACACTGATAGGACGGCGTGAGGTCAGCGTCCTCAGCCACTGGGCAGCCATGCTTGGGTGGGGCTCTGGCTGGCTGACACAGGGCTGTCTTAGGAGGCGCCGGGGCCGCAGGGGGACACCATGAATGAGCAAAGTGAATAGTTTCCTAAGGAAAAGCTAATTCACTGGCCAGGCAGGATCACGAGTTCAGTCCCCACGGACCAGTGAAGCTCTCACTGGGGAACACTGTGATGCTGGCCCCAGACCCGGGCCTGAGCCGTCACCATGGCAACAGACTGGGTCCCAAACCGGGCCCTGGCTCCACCCGAGAAGGCCTCCAACCTCAACAAGGCCCCAGCACAGCCCCTGCACCGCCCTGCTGAAAGGGGATAGGAGGGTCTCGTGGGGCACAGGAGGGGCTGGGGGCCAATGTCAGGCAGCTCTGTAGTGTGTCCAGACGTCTGGCCTCTGCGGCCTGGCGACACTGCACAGCTGGGCTTGCCGGCCCTGGGGCTCCATCAGCCTCAGCTGCAGCCCAGCAGGGTCGGGGATGCCGAGCTGTCACGGCCACCCCGTGCCAAAGCCCCGGCGCCACCCCCCTCCCCAGTGACTGCCGTCCAGGCCCGAAGCGTGCAAGCAATCTGGTCAGCGCCTTGGGGCCCAGAGCAGTGGCCCCGGGAGGGCTGGGCCTGCTGGGAATGAGCACTTGGCCCTGTCATCGGCTGCCAAGCCCACACATGGCCTGCCTGGGGCCTTTGATGCCTTCCCTGGCTCCGACCTCCAGCCCTCAGCTCTGTCTCTTACATGTCGTCCTCAGCCTCGGCCTCTGCCCTTCCTCCCCGTCTCTCCCTCTGCCTCCTTCCTCACAGCCCTCTCTTCCTTCCTCTCTACTCTGTGGCTGCAGAGCAGACTGCGGGGAACGGTGTGGTGGGAGGGCAGAGTGAGGGGCTCAGGACTGGCCCCTCCGGCTTCTAATCCTGGCTTTGCTGCTTCGTACCACCTGTGCAAACTTGGGCAAGTCGCTTGACCTCTTTGAGCCTCAGTTTCCCTTTTTGCAACGTGAGGCTGATAGCCACTGCCTTGCAAGGTTGCTGCGAGTTATCAAAGGGTTCGAGCAACAGGCCATGTCCTGTCCTGGACTTGCCACACAGTCATCGCTCTCAGATGAAAAGACAGTGACCCTGAGTTTCCATTTGCTCCTACTTCGCTGCACAGTACATGCCCAAAGCCAGGTATACAGTAGGTGCTCAATGAATGATGGGTGAATTGGATGGAGAGGAGGCAGGGAGGTTGCCTATGGATCTGGCTCTAACCTGCTCCATCCCCAGCTGCCCTAGGGGCCTCCCCACCTCGGACTTGACAAGCCCTCTGGCCTGGCTGGACCCCAACTTCCTCTGTCTCGGGGGTCTGCTCTCCAACACCCCACCTGCAGCCAGGCCCTTTCCAGAGGAGGACTCAGCTCCCCCCACTCCACTGTCCTCTTCTCCCCACTCTCCACCCCCTCGATCCAGATCCCAACAGCGTTTGCCAAGCTCCATGCCTGAACCACGGCAGCCTGGGAACTCGAGATTTCCATCCCCATTTCTGCTCCAAGGGAACAGAGACAGCTTAGGGTCTGCAAAGGTTCCTTGCCTGTGTCTCTTCAAGTGTGAGAGAGGAGAGCATAAAACAAGACAGGCGTTGATCAAGGGCTTTGGAAAGGTACCAGCCTCCTCCCCACGCCCTGTGGGTCATCTGCATCCCACCTCCGCGCCTTAGCACCAGCAGCGCGACCTGCCAGGAATGCCCTCGCCCCCATCCAAGTCCCACCCGTGCCCCAAGGCTGAGCGCAGATTCTCCCTCCTGCCTTCCCGGAGCCCGCAGCTCTCCCGTCTGTGCTGCTCAGCTGGCCCAAGGCGCTTGGCCCAGAGAACGCTTGTCTTGTTTTATGTGGGTTTGGCTTGTTCCACCGACGAGCCCGGGGTGGAACTCGTCTCTTGCGTCTAAGAATCATGATCCTAGACTCTCAGGGATCATAACAGTCTTCCGGCCTGGGCTGGAATGCCTTCTGCAAACATCCCTCGTGCCTCTGCTTGCACACCTCTCGTGACAGGAAAATCACCACCTCCCAGTGCTGTCAGCTCTGCCTGCAGAGAGGTCTTTTGCCTATTGAGATAGAATCTGCTCCTCTGTCCCTCCAATTCTGTCTGCTGGAGCCCCCTAAACCGAGGCTCACTGCTCATCCACTGACAGCCCCTCAAACATTTACCTTTCTTTTAAGGTCTAACTGAAATGTGACTTCTGCCATGAAGCCTTCCTGGGTTTCCTGGGGCTCCTCCAGGCCACCTCTCCCCCAGTCCTGTCCGCTCCACCCATCATTGCACATCTATTTACATACCAGCTGCCCCCCACTAGACCAAACATGGCAAGAGGGTGAATTAAACTTTAGAAATGTGCACTAATTACAGCCCAAGTTAGCAAATTCTGAAAAAGAGAATATACCTTTTCAAAAATTAACATTCCCATGGTCCTCTTATATGATGCATTTCTTGCAGATATTGCATTGCTGGAACCTCCCACTGGCCCTAGGAGATACTTCGGGCAGGGATGTTTCTCCCCATTTTGCAGCCAGGGAGACAGACAGCCAGTGAGTTGAAGCGCCTGGCCAAATACCCGCAGCTGACCCTGGTCACATGCAGGGCCTTCTGCCCAGGGCCTGGGCTCCAGGTTCAAAGATTTGGGGGCAGCAGGCCAGCCAGCCTTGGCAGGGGGCTTTGCCAAGCCAAAGTCCAGGGGGCCGGCTTGGAGAGCAGATAAAACTGCATGAAGCTGTTTGTTGTTTGCATGGAGAAGGCTGCCAGGGGTTTTTCAAAAACAATCTGACCTTTGGTGGGTGACTCTGTCCCCTCCCACACGGGGATACATCGGGGATACATCGGCCCTCCTGCCAAGGCCCTAGCAGACACACAGAGCGGATCAACCTCTAAATCCCAGCTTCTCAGCCCTGGTGGTTCATCAGTCACCTGGGGAGCTTTAAAAGTCCCTGTGTCCCAGCCCTTCCCCAGACCAAGTCAAGCAGGAATTCTTGGGTGGGAACTCTAATACCTATGCAAGTTGAAAACCCCTTTTCCCAACCATCCTCACTTCTGAAATCAGGAAAAAGAAAGCTGATACTATTTCTGGGGGATGGAGAGAGAATTACACCTGGTTTAAAGTCTCAGGTTCTCTTTGTAAACAGTGTGGGGGCTGGGCAGCTTGTTCTTCCCTGGAAGCTCTCTCGTTGCCCCTCCTTCCCCCATTGCGACACAACACGGTTCCTTGGAGCTGGGGGAACGCCAGTAGGTAACATCCTCCCCTTTGCAGGAAAGCTGGGCTCCCCCAGGATAACCAGATGGGTGGCAGTGAGTGTGTCCCTGATCTCTGCAAACACCCAGGAGACCTCACCCACTCCTATGGCCCTTATTTGGAACCCCCAGTTCAGCCACCTGAGACAGAGCTGAGCTTTGCAAAGAAAAAGGCCAGCTGCGCATCCAGTGGTGTCACTGAAGATGCCAGGAGAGGGTTTGCTCTGCCCCGGGCCTGCGCCTCCCCAAATGCTCTCTGGTACCTCACTCCCACGGCTCAACCTCTGGCAGAGAGCTGGCTGATGCTAACCCTCAGGGCTGCCTCAGCCTGCCCAGCCCGTTTCCCCGTTTGTAAAGTGATGCTAAGTCCTGACTCCCAAGGTTCCCGTGAGGATTTGCTGCAGTGCTATAGGTGGCAGCGCTGTCTGGAAGGAGATTGGGCAGGGGTGGGGTCCCCCTGGGAGGAGGTGTGCACAGGCCAGAACTGCTGCCCTCTAGCACGGACTCGCTGCCCCTGCAGGGCCTCACTGGGTGGTGCCCGCATCCCCTGGCCTCGTCCAGGTCCGGGAGTGGACCCTGCATAGGAAGCTCCTGCTCCCATCAGCAGCCCAGCCGGTCAATCTCGCGGAAGCAGCTGCTGCTCCTGCCCAGCCCCCCAGGCTCCCTGCTCCACCCTGCAGCCCCCTCCCCCCCTACTGGAGATCTGGTTCTTGCGGCAAGGAGGACTCCCATGGCAACCAGACCCCGCCCAGGCTCCCCCAACCAAATGGCCCATGAGCTGCTCCTGTCTCTTCCCATGGCCCAGATGCACCTTCCATGCCCCCCAATTGGCCACTGCATAGGGGACACCCTTGAACCCAATGACCAGCTATGCTTGGGTCGGGGCACACACCAGATGGTCCAGCAGTGACCTAAGGTCCACTCCAGCCTCCACTCCCAGCTGCACTCTCTCAACAGGAGCCAGATACCTTCCCCAGCTTGCCTTTCTCTGCTCATGTTCCACATCACACACATACTCGCAGGCACACACATGCATGCACACACTCAGTCACACGCACAGTGACAATCTACACCCAGCGACACACCTGGACACCAGATCTCCCAGGTGCATTATGTCGGGTGGGATGTCTGCACACACTAACAGGCACCTTCCACACCCCTCCCATATGTACCCACACACTCGTCTAGGGAAGAACCTGTGGACAGACATCCATACCCTCCCTGCCACCCCTCCACCATTCAGTGACATATTTGGGCATATGCACACATGTGCACCTGTGCAAGAGCACACAGCACGCTTGTTCACGCACACGCACACTCGGGAATCCCAGCGCTCCTCACAGGGATAGACCACAGCAGCATCTTTTCAACCTGCAATCCCACAATCCGTGTAGCCCTGAACTTCCTTCGAGGGGGATCCTGACATCCCAGGAGTCAAGGAACCTGCTGAGGTCACACGGCTCACTGCCGCTGAGCGGGTCTCAAACCCAGGTCCCCCGCCCCCAGGACTGGCACATGCACCCCGCTGGGTCCACAGGTGTGCAAATCACCAGTGCCCCCAGGCCAACGGGATCTTGGGGGGCCCTTCCCAGGTGTGCTCTGGGCCCCCCATGGGTAGGGCACCCAGGCAGAGCAGGGGCCCCTCAGCCCTTGCAGGGCAGCAAAGCCTGGACACTGGGTCGGGACCCTCCTCAGTCAGGGGTGATCATTTGACAGGTTCCTCCTCGGGACGGGGCTGGCTCCTGGGGGGACAGTTCTGAGGACCCGGTGGCCAAAGGGGGTCCTGCCTGAGACCCTGGGAGGAGCCGGGCGAGGGCTCCCTCTGGTGAGTCCAGCCGCCGCAGCACGGGAACGGGAACGGGGCGAGGGGCCCTTACCTCCGGGCCGAGAGGAGTGGAGGACGGACAGCAGGAGCAGCAGGACTCCGGGCCGCGGGGCCGCCGCCGTCAGACCCGCCATCTCGGGGAGAAATGCCCCAGCCCGCTCTCCGCGCCTCGTTTTATCCCCAAAGCGTAATTGCTGCCTGGTCGGCTGGAGGGAAGGAGGGAGGGAGGGCGGGGAGGGCGGGCTGGGGGGGTGCGGGAGGGGCAGTTACGAAAGGCACAGCCTGCCCGCGGGTCGCACGAGCTGTGGGCTCTTTCCTGCACACACGCGCGCACACACACTCGCGCACACACGCACACTCACTCTTCCCGGCTCTTTCCCGCTTTCCCTCTGTGGCTGTTCTCTCGCTGCTGGCCCTGTTCCCGCCAGAAAGTGCGAGGGGGGCCTCTGCCAGGACAGCCCTCGGGAGAGGAAGCGGGAGGGAGGGCCCGGCGGCCCGGCCAAAAATCCCAGCCCCAGCCAAGGCCTGAGCGGCCAGGCCCCCGCCCCTCCGGCTGGGCCCCGGGCCCAGTGTGGGGACACAGGCCAGCTGTCCCGCGCCTCGGCCCCCGCCCCAGCCCTCCAGACTCCCCAGCACCCCCAGGCCTGGCTAGAGACAGGTTCTGCCCAAAGCTGGGGAGGGGAGGTGTTGGGCGGGTCTGGGGGTTCTGGGGGGCCAGTGTGTGCAGGGGTTGAGGGGCTGCAGGCAGAATGGCCTGGGAGGTAAGATCGGGTTGGTGTCGCTCTGTGGGGCATCCAGGGGATGGGAGGGGGACACTGACACTCTGCAGGGCTCCATTCTGCAGGGACCAAGGTCTCAGCCTCCTGCCTGCAGCTGGGGAGGGGTGTTGGGCAGGTCTGGGGTCGATGTGTGCAGAGGCCGGGGGCTCTGGCCTGGAAGTTAAGGCCATGCTGGTGTTGTCCCCTGGGGCATCTGGGGCACGTGGACGACACTGTCACGCAGGCTCAGTGCTGTATGGGCCAAGGTCCCAGCCCCACACCCAGCTCTGTCTGGCAAAGGTCAGGCTGGACCCCCAGGTTCCCCGATTGGTAAGAGGGAGACGGGAGCCCCATGCAGACGGAGTGGCAGCCTGGCCTTCTCGTTATCACCAGGCCACCACCCATCCCAACGCTGAGCACCCCTAGCGCCCAGACGGGACCTGAGAGCCCCCCAGAATGCAGGTTCTCCTGGCCCCTCTGGGACGGGCCAGACCTGACATTCCTCTGGTGGCCAGGAGGGGGCGGCCTGCTCTGAAGCAGCTGGGACAGCACCACAGGAGAACGTTGAGCCTGCTCCGACTGCCGCCTGAGCAGGACCCCGACACTGGGTTTTTTGGGGGATGGGATGCAGGGTGGGACAAGGGGTGTCATGCCCCCCCTTGCTAGTTTGGAAGAAACGGGGGAGCCAGAGGACAGGAGAGGGAAACCGGTTGCTTGTCCTAGGTCACAGCCAGTTGGGGGACGAATAGAGGCCATGTGTCCTGTGGGCTTTTCTCTGCACCGAATGGCTCTGAGGGACGACTTGGATACCCGTCGTCCAGCCAGGAGCACGGTGTCAGTCTGGAGCTCCAGCAGAGGTGGCCGGCAGTGGACAGGTCAAAGGCAGGCATTGGACTTAGGTGGACCTGGGACTAATTCTGGCTCTAGCACTTTCTGGCAGGAGCAGGGGGTAACCTCTCCATAGAGCTTCATTTTCCTAGTCTGTCAAAGGGTGAGAAACAACCCTAGCTCGGAGGGTTATTGCAAAGATAAATGAAATGTGGTCATATATTTCTGCACTGTGCCTGCCAGATCAAAAATGCTCTGTGCTCATCTGGTACTAGTGCTGGCATAAATACTACCGTTGCAGCCACTAGTTCTGCGAGCGCCACTCCTGTTTTTAGGGTAGCTGTCAAGTATGGCTCTATACTGGGCCACCGTGGGACCCTGGACCATCCCTCCTTTTCCCTAGGTCTCTTGTGTTGGCAGCTCCAGACTTCTGGCAGGTGGAGGCACGCTAGGACAATTGTCTTGAAACTGTGATTGCGCAGCAAGTGTACAGCTATTCCTTACAGTGTGGGTTTATTTAGGGGCAGCTGATGGAGATTTTGGGGGGTTGAAGCCCTCCAAGCCCCCTGAGGGTGAGGGTAGGGCACTCTGGGGCAGGGTCTGAGGATTGATGCCTGGGACGTGCCTGCGGCAGGGAGGGGCGATCAGGGGTGCGCCTATGTGCCTTCCCTCTCCCGGGAAGGGGAAAGCAGGGGTTCTGGGGGGAGCTGGGCCCCACTCCTCTCGGGCCAGTGACGTGGGCAGGAACCAGCTTTCAGACTTGCAAACCGCAGTCTGCTCGGAGTCTTTATTAATTCCAGGATGGGGAGAGAGTCTGGAGCCAGCAGGAGGGAGCTTGCTGTAGGGGACCCAGGAGAGGTGTGGAGGGGCGCTTGTAGGGGTAGGCTTGAGAATGCCGGGCTGACCTCTATCCCCAGGGCCAGGGCCCTGCGTCCTGCCCCCAGCCTGTGTCCCCTTCCTCCTTTGCAGCCTCTGCGCATTGCAGGGGCCCCATAGCACGCATGCCACAAGGCTTCTGCACGCCTCAAAAGGGGGCCTCAATTCGGAATCAAATCCATTGCCCCGATCATGCAGTGCCATTTAGCCCAATGCGTGCAACACGTAATGTGAAGACTAGGGATTATAGTCCTCGGCCAACATTCATTTATTCATTCATTTCCTTGTGCATTCAAGAAGCCCATCGGCCCTCCACTGCTTGGTGCCACCTCCCTGCCTCGCTGTGCAGATTAAATAAGGTCATGCGTGCAGAACCACCCACAGACAGCTGCCTGCCGCGCCTGACCACTTGGCGAGCATTGGCTTCGCCAATATCGTTGACAAGCCTCGCCCGCCCACTTGCTGGCTGGCTTGGTGCGCCAAGGGACACCCAGGTGAGTCACTCACAGGCCATCTCTGTCCTCCAGCTCCTCCAGACGCACCCATTTAGGAAGGACAGAATTTCCAGCCTCTGTGTGGCTCTGAGAATGGCAGGGCTTTGCTCAGAAACTCTCAGCTGCCATCCAGATTCAGTCTAGACTTCTGAGTTTGGCTTTCAGAGCCTGGCACTACCTGGCTCAACCCGCTCTGCTGCCATCCTGCCTCCTGACTGGCTCCTTTCTTGCTGCCGGAGCTGCCCCCCGGCCCCCAGACTTGTCCTGGAGGTCTGGGTGCTGGACCTTTGGTGGCAAGGCTCCCTGGTTTCAGCATGTCCCAGCCTCTATCACTCCAGGCCTGTCCCCACCCCAGCATCTCTGTCACCTGGACCCCTCTTAGGGTCCTTAATGTGCAGGTTCCTTGGGCTGAGCTTGGGTGCTTCCTCTTATGCTCACTGGCCTGGGTGGGCATCATGGAAGGTGGTTTGAGGGTGAATCCAGTTCTGTCTCCCTTGGCATCCACGAATGTTGGATAATAAGCACAGATGTGCCTTCCAGCAGCCAGGGACAAAGGCTGCTGGGGTGGACAAACCCCTGGAATCCATGGGGCATGGCTTCTGTGTTCTTTCTTGTCTATGCATGGTCCCGTCATCTGTTGAGTGCAGGACATACTGCTGCCTGGGACCCTGGGCCAGCAAGAGAGAGACGGGCTGCTGAGCTAGCCTGGGGAGAGCTTGGTGCCAGCCAGCCGTGGAAGGTGCCACTGTCGGTCATTCATACCTGCGTATGAGCGAGGGTCCCTCCAGCCAGCCCCAAGGGAAACAGGGCCAGCACTACACTAACAGGGGAGCGTGCACTTCTCATAGGGACCAAGCTGAGGTTTGGGAAGGAAACGAATGCTGGTCGTGTAGATGCGGAGGCAGGAAATCAGCAGCAAAGCAGAGCCCCCCCCATTCCTGAGACCCAGCTGCAGACATTGAGGCCAAAACCTTTCCCTCCTCTGATTTCAAACTTTCTGCTAGCCGCATAAAATAAAACATAAGTAAAATCACTTTTAATAATACGTTTAACCCAACATATCAAAAATATTATCATTTCAACATATAATCTATAAAAAATGATTGAGATATTTTGCATTCTTCTTTGTACTAACTCTTAAAACTGATGTGTATTAAACATTTACTCTGAGAGTGCATCTCGATTTGGGCTGGTCACGTTTCAGATGCTCAGCAGCCACATGTGGCCACCAGCCACGACAACATAGGACAAGACTGTGAGAGGACAAGTGAGGATGTCCCCAGTGCAGGCATGGTGGCCAGGCAGGAATCTGGAAACAGCCAAGGGTGGATCCTGCTACGCAAAGGTTGGAGGGAGAATGGGGCTTGGGGACGGGACTTGAGGAGAGGGGCAGAGAAGGAGGGACGTCCTCAGGGCTGGCAGGGAAAGGCCTAGGGCGCACCCACGGCAGGCGAGAGGCCCTGCCCTCGAGCTGGTCGCCGAGCCAGCGAGGGCGGCCGCCTGCTGCAGGGTACGAGGCAGCACTGGCCCACAGCCGACACCTCCGCTGGAAGATGAGGAAGTCCTCCTGCAGCTCGTCCCTCCCCAGAGGTGGCCGGGGACGCCCCTGATGGCAGAAAAGGCCAGGAAAGGAAGGAGGCTGGTGCGGGCACAGGGACTTCACTGGAGGTGAAGGGTCTGCAGCCGAAAATAGATCGGACGCAGTGTGTCTGGGCCATTTGCTGGGCGTCGCTTCGTCACTCGGGGTTGGCCCAAGGGAAGAACAGGCTGTGCTCTGAGGGGGCCTGGGAGTTGTGCAGGGGAGGCCGGAATTCCAGCCCAGGTGCTTCTGCACCCTCCAGGCTAGGGGTGGGGTCAGTGGTCATCGCTGCGGTTGTGATGGGGACTGATATTGATTAGTGTGTGACCTTGTGTGGATTACCTAATAATGGTGATATCAACAATAATTAACCCCCAGAAGCCCTGGTTTCCTCCTGTGGACACAGGCTTCTTCGCAAGTATTTAAGATTGAAAACTTGTATCTGCGAGAGTCAGGTATACAGCAAGTGCTCAAACATGGGGTGGGGTCCATGACACCATTTCAGGCAACTACAGCAGATGATTGAGGCCGGGTGGAGGGGGAAGCTCCCTCCCCACGAGCCCCCACTGGCTGCCTGGTCTCTGATCCAGCAACCCCGGGCAGGGCTGTGCCTCCTCCAGCCCGGGTGTTTGTGTGTCGGAGTGATTTGTCAGTCTGGGTCCTTGGCTGTATGCGCAGGGGCG